TTTTGGATGTGCACTAGTTTGGTTTTTTTACAATGCACTGTTCCTCTTAAATTTTTACTAAAATCTTGTTTGATGGGGAACATTTGGATTGGGTGTAATTTGAGATTAAGACACCTAAAATATATGTGTCCACAGGCACTCTTAATGTCTAACCTCCTGTGATAGTTGGTGAAGACATAGCCAAAAAGCCTATACTCTAATGAGTGATTCAGCTAATCCTAAAATAGCTGTGTTAACTGGCCAGTCAGCCTTAATCCCATGCTTTCTGCTATGTCACTTTCACCTGCAAACTTCAAAATAACAGAATAAAAGACCTGTATGGGAGCCAGAAAGAAACTCCAGCTATTCACCACCCTCCTCCTTTCTGCCTACAGCTGGGGCTTCATTGAGATTCTACCCAGGGCACCACAACAGCTATCCGAGTAGCCACCCCAAGTACCTCAACAACTCATTTTCTGTATCATCACACCCCCAACAACTGCACAGACTCATGGAACCATTAATTCTCCTTCACCCATCCCTTCCACTTCAAACATACAAAAATTTTTAAGAAAGAAAACCTGCAGGATGAACTTAAATCCTCACATCACCATTAGGAATCAGTCTCTATCTTAAGGACAGGAAATACTGCATCTTCACTTGATTTTCAAGCTTTTTCTAGACTACATGGCTATAGTATTAAAAATTATCTCAGAGGCTTTTCATGCCATCAGACCTTAGAGATTAACTAAATTGAGTAATGGTACTACTCACTGATGGACTGACTAAACCAGTTAACTGCTTTCAAGCAACTCTTCCATCTATCCTGAAAAACTGGTCTTACGACCAGACCATTTATCATTGCTGGTGCTCAGCACTCTGCCGGTAAATAACACAAGACGACCAACGCTGGGGAGGGGTGGGGAGGACCTCATTCGTGGACTGTTCTGCAAAAGAAAGGTGTCAGCTGTCAGGCCCTCCCAGACAGAAAACACCAGAGATCCTCTGGGTTCACCTAGCTGAGACCCTTAAGAGCGGGCCCAGAGCCAGTGTCCCAAGGGGCAGACCAGGTAGGAGAAGACACAGCAGCATGCCCCCAGGTAACTGCCCTGGCAATGGGACCTGCGTCACTGGAGGGCTCTTGGTTGCCTCCACACAGGCACAGGAAGGCAAGATCAGCCTTTTCGTGACACCAGGATTTAGAGAAAACCAACAGCACACTGAAAAAAACCTCAAGGATTCTCCATTTGCTCTACAACTTGCAGGAATCAGCCACATCTTGAAGTTATTTCTCTATACTACACATCTATAAGGAAATACACAAACAGGTAAAAAAAAAAAGCTTATTCCAAAATACTGTCAGCCGGCAGTCAAGGTGACAGCCTGTCTGTACCACTGTAGATGGGGCTATATATTTGACAAAACCACATGGGGTTTATTCAAAAATAGCAAATGTTTTTGTTAGGTCTGAGTTTATGTGATTTCTGGCACAGCATTTTGCCATGTGGAAGCTTCCTCAGAAAGTATATTATTATTTCAGTCTATCAGGCAGGATTTTCTCCATTTCTTCACAATGGAAGACAGTAAAAATAGCAATGCATATTACTTGCATACATATATACGAAAATGCCAAACAAAAACTGTTTGCATTCTATGCTGCCATTTAAAAGCCTCAAGAATCTAAAAAAATTGTCACTTCAATTCACCCAACAACAAAAAGAAGCAACCTCTGAATGTAATGTCATAGCATGAATAACAAGTTTGAAACATTACGTGGTGTTTCAGGACTAATATTCACTTTCTTTTTTCAAAGCAACAGGAAAATACAAGTGGGAACTAAATTGTCTGTAATGGAGTCTTCATGTTACATTAAAGCATACTTCTACTTATCATACAAAATATTAAACAGAAGCTTAGCTGATGAGAATGCAAGCATTAAAACTTGACATATTTTGCAATGTGGAAGCTATTTCTAAAAGCACAATACTTGTTTCAGTCTCATCTATAATACTATTTTATTAAGAATACCCTGAAACTCAGCTGTTGTCGTAGCTTGAGGAGAACAGTAACAGTTCTGACACCAGGATTTTCCTTGGAGATATTATATTCAAGTATGCTTAAGGTCTGCCTTGGCTAGTATCGGGGCTTGCAAAGAACTATCTCAAGGAGAAACAGCCACGAGCGTGCACTGTTCCACTTAATCGTATCTCATTTTATCCAAAACAGTTTGTTGCTGCAGTTACTCTGTAGCCCTAAAAGTCTGGAGATTAAGGTGCTATTTCTACACATGGAATAATCTTCCTCAAGTAACACAGGCTACAGCTGCACCTCCGTTTCCCATCTGAAACTTAATCTGAATATAAACTTTATACTATTTACTTTCCTCTTGATTTCCCTTTGAGTGGAGGCTTAAAACTGGGTAGAACTGGACAAGCAAGGATACCTAGGTAAAGTTAAATTATTCTGAAAGCTAGACTTTGTTTCTCAATATTAAATGTGATTTGAGAGCACTGGTTAAAATTATTTTTAATGGATTTCGTCTTTCCGCTTTAATAACCACTTATCTTCCCTCCACTTTTGTTTACACATTGCTAGTAAATCTCTATTTCATCTTCAGAATACCAGGCACACTCGTTTATATCAAGCTTATTTCTGTTCAGAGTTCCAAGTTCTTTGCGGCCACACGAGGGTAAATAATGAAACCCCCCTCACCAAATAAACACGTTAATTTCATTAAAATGTTAATCTAACCCCAAATCTGAATCTAAATTAAATTGATGAAGTTCCCTTAATGTTACACAGACCATAAATTTTATACTTTACCTCCATGTTTGACAGTAGTGGCTGGTTAGTTCTCGATGGCTGCTTGGTCCTTGGTGCCTTCGGTGGCCTCTTAACCGGCTGGTTACTGTGTTTCGGAATAATTTTACCAGCTGATACAACCGAGTAAAATCTTGATGGTATGTTCCTAAGGTTTTTAATACACTCTGTATAGAGCTTGTAGTTTTCCGTCATCGCCACACCAAAATGTTTCCAGGATGGAAAAAAAACCTCTCCACTCTGATGATAAACATTTTTTCCCAAAGCCGATACATTTCCTTGGAGCAATTGCCAATTCTTGACTTGCACGCACGGACTTGTCAAACAAGGGGAAGCAGTTTTCAAAGCATACAAATTCCAACACTTTGCTGTTCTGTGAGCTGTTCTGTCAGCTTCATTATCCAGCTTTAATAGCGGACGTCCACTTTTATTAAGGCTTTGGCATTGGCATATTGTTGTTAAAGCGTGGAAAGATCTAGTCTGAAGGTGCAGAAGTTTCAGTCTCATTGCTTCCCTGAGAACTGTACTTAAAACAAACAAACAAAATCATCCATCAACACTTTGGAAAGAAATAATATTATTTTCCCCTTAACTAAAAGGTGACCCATACTCCTTTTGCATGTGTTAGTACTCCTAAGCACATAAACATTCGTGGGATTAAACAGCTTTTTCTCAATGCTATGGAAATACTCTAATTAAGATCAAAACACGTTATTGAGCTGTGTGCTTGCAATGCATGGTGAAAAAGTAGGACTGGTTGCTATGTCAATATGCAAGCAGGCGTCTTTTCCTTCTGTGGCTTATTCTGTGTAGCTGTCTGCACTCTCAGTAACCCCAATGACGAAATTACCCATGAGCAAGCACAGGTCTTAAAGAGGACATCAGACTCTGTGAATCATTATTTTATACACAATAAAAACAACAATTATATTACTCTGTGCTTGTACGGGAATGTCACCTACGGAGTACACACGCTGATCAGCATCAGCTCAAACTGCTGTACCGTGAACAGCCAAGCACGGATCCAGCTCCATTCGTCTGTCTTGACTAGAACGAGAGCCGAGTCAACCAGGTTACAGTCTTGATCCTGCTAGTACAGACCAGCGCAACAGGGACTGCAGGGCCTGCTTGCAGATTTACCTGCGCTGATGGAAACACAAGCGTCCTTATTCTCTCATTCCAGACTAAGAGGAAGCTTATTATATTTACGCTACGTTGTATGAGCTAATCTAATAACCTTTAAAAGTATTGATGGACAGTAGACTGAATACCTCGGTGGGTGTGTTTCACTTGCTGAAAAATCGTGGTGTCAAGTCACTGCTCCCATCTGCTTTTACTAACCAAGAACATTTCCCTCATGACACAAAATCCATCTTCAGCAAGTTATTAACAAAAAAAAAAGTCATTAAGTTGTATAGTTTGAAAAAACTGCCAATTTCAGAATATTTTTCAAAACCTGTGTAAAGAAGGATCTTCAACACCACCCATACATTTAGCATAATAGTTCAAATAACCATTTTCTTGTGAGAACAAATCATTGCATGCTGACTGGAACAAGCCCTCCATCCTGACAAGGATACCTAGATGCTAACGCAATACACACACAACTTGAAAAAAAAACACAAACCAAACCCTGACATAACTTAATGGGAGTCCACCAATTCTGGTGAAAGAGGCATACAATTCTACAGAAAAAAAAAAGGACATAAAACACTTCTAGGCTACCACAGAATAAGTTATTGATATTGGGCATCATTTTATATGCTCTTCACTTGTACCTTTTTGCTCAATTTGTAAGCCTGGTATTTGCATAGTTATTAGAATAAACTAATCGTTATTTTCATTTTAAACTTGTTATGTATTTAAAAAGCAACCTAGAAGACTCTGCCCAGGACAAGGCACATTTACCTGTTTAAAGGCCTGTTACCTCTGGATAATCAAGAGAGCTGAAAAACTCAGCAGCTGCAACCCAAGGTGGTCGAGAGCCAGGGCAAGGGGAGAAGTCTCCGTAGCGCAGGGTAACCAGTGGGAAGAGACCCACAAACGCCAGGTAAATCTGCACCTCCCCTGCCAACAAGACCTTGTGGCGAACCACGGGGATCCCAGGGGTGCTTTATTCAACCGTACAGGCTTACAGCGGGCTACAAGGAAGCAGCCATCATATAAACAGGCTCAGTTCCACCCAGGGGCCTTAACGCCAGATGCGCGGCAGCAGAGCCGCCTCGCCAGGGAGCGCGGAGCGGCGCAACCCAAGGAACACGCGGGACAGAGCCACCGCAGCGAGACAGCAGCCGCCAGCGCCCAACAGCAGGAACAAATCGGCGCTTTATTTTCCAACGTCTCGTTAACACAAGACACGGTTTAGTCGCGCCCGTCGCCTTTCCCGCCGGGAGTCCAAGCTTACTGCGGCAGAGCCAGCAAGACGCGAGAACAAAGCGGGCCCGCTCTGCCATGACATGACATGACATGACATGACATGACATGACATGACATGACACGCCACGCCATGCCATGCCAGCACATGACATGACATGACATGACATGACACGCCACGCCATGCCATGCCAGCCCGGCCCCCGCCACCGCCCGCGCCGGGC